ATAGCACCAGCTGTTCACCATGGCACTGTTCAGGGCCCAGCTGAAGCATGGCCACCACCACTTCTTGGACCGGATGTTGACTCTGTAGCGGCTGACAAACTGGTCATGCAGGTCCACTCCTCCCATGTGTGTGTTGTAGTCCTGGATACACTTGGGCTGTCTGACCTTGTCCATAGTCCGCTTCTGTTTATTCCATCTCTTCGCCTCAGTTTCGGTGAACTCCCTCTCCATGTTCGACACCACGGTGACCACGCTGTTGTCATTCCACCTTACAATCAGCTTCTCTGCCTCAACCAGATACTCAGCATCTCCTCTGGGTGTCTTCTTGAAGGTCTGGGGTGCTGTGAAGGGAATGTTATGGAGCTGAGTTTGTCGCATCGTGCCACAGCTGCCATAGCCTCTCAGGGTCATCTCATCCACCAGGGACAGGGTTGTGAAGAGGTTGTCGTGGTAAAACTTGACTCCAGGTGGCACTTCAGCTTTCTCTGCCAGGCCAAGAACCACACTTGGACCCTGACCAAGTCCAGTTTCCACCAGATGTGTGTGGCTTCCTACATATGGCTCCATCTGATGGACAAACCCGGAGGAGGATGCTAAGCTCCATATTTTATACCCAAAACGAATAGGCTTCCCTCTAATTAACTGTTTGCACCCATGCCTTCCAAAATACTCAATCATCATCTCATCTACTGCCACATGTTCTGCTATCGGGATTGCGTTGTTGATGTCATTTAGATGCTTAAAAAGGGGACGCACCTTGAAGAACGGGTCAGCTGTGATCTTCATGTTGTCTACTAAATTAACAGAAGACATAATTTCATCAAACCTGTTCCTCCGCATGGCATCTTTTACAGCATTGTTGCTGACATCACAATCGTCTGACCAGAGAAGACGCCGCCTTGGGACTGTGTTGTATCCACTGATCAACAGAATACCGTAGAATGTAAGAAGTTCATCCTCAGTCAGGTTGAGCGTTTTCCCTTTTTGTTCAGCGTAGAGATTGGACATTTCCAGTGTGACATCTCTGAGGGACTTGGGATAAAATGTGAGGAAGATATCCACTGGATCATCTGATGTGAAGCCAGGATCATGTTCTTTGGGGACATAGTGAGGGATCTGATATTTTTTGTTGGCTTGTGCTGGTGCTTTGGCCGCAATTTTGATTTTTTTGAATTTCCTGTCTTGGTTCTTAGTTTTGTGGAGCATGGGCCCAACAATCTGACTGGTCACCTTTTCATTTGTGCCACTGACCTTTCTAGTCTCTGTCTGACTCACTGAGGATGAGCACCCAGGATCATCATCGGGGGGATTTGGCAGCTGCATGTCCGAATTAGGTAGAAAGCCTTCACCTTTGAGTATTCTTGATGGGAGGCGGTTATGGTCACCAGTGGCCTCATCATCAGATTGGTCACTGTCACAGTCTGTGTCATGTGCGTGCATTTCTGACTCAGGCACAACTGTGATGTCCGCCACAGTTTCAGAGTCCTGCAGCATGGCCAGGATCTCTGCTACGGTGTACCTAAGGAAAGGACAACATACATGTTAGCTAGCAAGCGAATTTTAGCTAGCA